TCAGCCAAGGCCGGAGGCATAGGAGAGCACAACTGAGCAAGGGAGGCGAGGTGGGAAAGTAGAATTTGAGAGTGTTGGTTGATCTTGATACCAGCGCCCAGGAAAGGAAGAGGGCAGCACAGACCAGGAGGTCAGTAAGAACAAATGCCACTGTTTCCCGAGGAGCACGGGCCTCACGGGGCGGTGGCGGGGCTGGGAGGGAGGAGCCCTAGGCGCAGCTCTGCTTCCCCTCTCCCAGCTCTGTGACCTCAGGCCAGTCAGGTCATCCTCCCCTCAAGGGAACTTTCTCCCGTAAACTGAGGTGCCAGGTCCCACCTTCCCCAAGACCACTTGAGAGTCAAATGAGGTGCACATACAAGAGCACCGTGTAAACATCGACGAGGTTCAGTCTTCATGTTTTCCCAGAAGTCTTGAAAGTATAGAAAACTGACCTGGGAAGGCACATAGACGCTGCTACATTTTTGGAAGTCATATTAAGCCAGGGTTTCTCAACCTTGGCATCACTGACATTTTGGACCAGACACGTCTGTGTCGGGGGAGGGGACACTGTCCTGTGTACAATGGAGAGTGTTTAAGCAGCATCCTGGCCTCCACCCACGGGGTGCCAGTAGCACCCCTACTCCAATTGTGAGAACCAAAAATGTCTCCAGACATTGCCCAGTGTCATCTGGCCAAAATCACCCCCCATTAAAAACTACTGCATTAGGCTAAAATGCATCTTCCCGTGACATTGTAAAGGACACGAACAGTCAACACTCATGCGGGGCTGACTGCGTGCCAGGCGCTGCCCTAAGTAAGCACTTCATAGAAGTGAGTGCATTTCACCCTCACAGATGCCTTATCATGACCAGCATTTCGCCAATGAGGAAACCAAGGCTCAGAGAGGGATCACCTCTTGCCCAAAGTTCCACAACTACTAAATTCTACAGTCAAAGAAAGGAGAAAAAAGTTGGGGCTAAGGAAATAAGGTTACGGCAATCAGGGAGCAACCATTTTTAACGCGAGGCCATTGAAGGCTTGCGGCCTGCTTCGCAGTGTGGCTCGGAGAGGCAGCAGTGTTTGCCAAAAGCCTCGTGTTACCGACGAGGCCACAGAAGCCACGCCAGGAAAAAGGACCCACCTGGGGTCAGATGGAGGCAGGCCTGGAACAGAAGATCCCTCTTCCCTCTTCTGGGCAGCCTAATATACAGCGATAATGACAGTGACTCTGAGTTCAGTGTCCAGGAAGTGATGGGCGGGGAGGGGTGAGGGAGGAGGCAGGGGGTCAGGCCACCAGGCACAAATGATGAGCCATGGTCAGGAGACCACCGGTTTGCAGCTGACTTTCTAGAAACAGAGATGGCTCTGCACCGAGTCATCCGCATTCTCCTGCTCGGCTGATGAGGGATGGGCACAGCCAGAGCTGGGGATCAGAGCCAAAGTATCTGGCCTTCAAGAGGACCAAACCTTATGAGCCCAGCTGGCACATTCTATAAATAGTCACTGTAGAAATTAAACTGGTTACCACGGGCTCGGGGCCTAACCCCCGCCAGTCCCTCCCAACTTAGCTTCTCCCTTCACCCTCCCTCACTCCACTCCAGCCACACTCACCCCCAGCACACCCCGTGGGTTCCTTTGTACCTGCCATTTGCTCTCCCCAGAAGGCCCAGCCCCCAAGTCTTCTTCCTCAGCTTCCCCTTGCCACTCAGATCTCAGCTTCGAGGAGCCCTCTCTGACCACAAAACCCAAAGGAGGGCCCGTCCCAGTCACTCTTCGCCCATCACCTGTGGCATTTCCTCCTTAGCACTTATCTCTCTCTGTCCTCCTGGGTGGACAGGTGCTGACTTCCTCACTGCGCACATAGCTCCCGGCACAGTCCCTGGCACACAGTGGGCCCTCCATCAGTGTTTATAGCATAAAGGAATGAAGGAAAAAGCAAACCCACACACCAGCAAGCCAGCCAGAACTGAGCTAGACCTGCCAGCGGCAAATCTTTACAATAAAAAGCCACTACAACACAAATGACTATGTATAAAACAGATAACACAACAAGGTCCTACTATAGAGCACTGGGAACTATACTTAATGATCTGTAATAAACATAAGGGAAAAATATGAAAAAGAATATGTGTGTGTGTGTGTGTGTGTATATATATATATATATATATATATATATATATATATGTAAAACTAAATCACTTTGCTGTATGCCAGAAACGAATACAATACTGTAAATCAAATATACTTCAAAAAAAATCCACTGCAGGGAAGTGCAATTCACTGAAGAAACCAATTCTTTGTAAGATCAGCTCTGCCTTCCTCCTTCTCACAACGTAACTGTGTCCAAAAGCAGACTCAGACTCTAGGCTAAAGTTCCAAAGAGACGCCCTCGGCTCTGCTGGCCTTCCCAGCACGTGCTGGGCACACAACTGGGCCACGTTAGCAGAGCTGAATTAAATCAGAGAACAATCTCTCCAATTATGAATTTTCCAGGTAACAAAGTTTTAAGCCCACAAACTTCCCTTCAGATATCATTTTTGATGAAATTCTTATTAAAACATCTAACACATTCTTCACGGAATATGCCAACCACCATTCAAGTTTTGCTTGATGCCCTGGGGTCATTAGAATCACTAATTGCATCACCATCCTGCAGCACAGGGATGCCCCCAGTGTGGTGTGTGGGGTTGTGGGCCCCCACACTCGGTGGTTCCCAATCACTGTGCTGTGGTTTTGTGTTTAGTATCATTTTTCTGCCTCTTGCCTGGCTGTTAGCCATCGCCTCTTGCTGCTCATCACTCCACAGCCTCTACCAGCACTTCAAATCGGCTGTGAACTGAAAAACCAGAACCTGTTAGAATTGTATGTAAATCAAGAATCAATAGGACCTGAATGAAAGAATATGAAAACGAATATATGTATGTTATATGCATGACTGGGACATTGTGCTGTACACCAGAAACTGACACACTGGAACTGACTATACTTCAATTTAAAAAATGGAAAAAAAAACAAAACCCAGGACCTGCCTCAATGAGGACCTGAGAAGCTCTCCTTTAAATGAAATGTCAGGTGATGAACTCATCTTATTTGATGTCTGGGAGGATTTCTCATTCCTCTAGGTTCCAGCTGTGCCCCCAAGACCACGCTGCCCTATAGGCCATCTCCAGGGTGTGGAGCACTGCCTGCCGTGGGGAGGGGCTGAGGCTCCCTGGAGTTTTCCAGGTGAGCCGGTGCTGAGAGCAGCCTGCTCAGACAGCTTGGTGATAAAGCCAAGTGGTGCTCAACAAAACCAAAGCCACTGAGGACGTTTTTAAAGTTATATGAAATCTCGTGGTTCCGAACATGCTCCCCTCAGCCTCACACTTCTTCACTGAGGGAAACAGAGCTCTCGTGGGGGCCCTTTGGGGAGCAGAGAACAACAAACCGTGCTGAGCACACATTTTGATGGTCACCAGCAAAGCCCCCGAGAGGCAGAGTTTTCTGAAGCCAAACAGATCTCAGAGGTCCTTAACAGGCACTTGCTGTGGAATCAGATTCCAGGTGTCTTGTCTGCACCCAATTATGCCTGAGGAAGAGAGCGCATCTTTCTCCCTCTCAAATAAATGATATAGTAAATAGTTTGAACTGCATTGTGCCACGTTTGTTAGATGTGTGTGTACACGCGTATTTAAAGGAAAAATATGATGAAACGTCTAGAGATCAAATGTTATTTAGTGGTCATCTTCCTATGAAATTATCTTTTTTCATCTTTATATTTTCGTTTCCCAAGTTTCTTTTTCTGAGCATGTATGATTTTTCTAGTTAGGTAGATAAGAGTTTTTTTTTTAATAAAAGTTATTTTTAAAATGTCTTTCTTCGTCACTTAAAAAAAAATTCTTCCTCTGTCCCTTGTATTTCCTCCTTTCTGTGTCAGCTAAACCTCCTACAGTATGAATTCAATGTGGGGCAGGTGTGGGAGGGTGGTCACAGAGGTCCAGCTCTATTTTGAGATGTGTTGCAGGCCTAACAGCAAGTGAACTGGGACCTTGGGAACCCAAAGTGCCACCACCTGGAGTGACATCAGCCTATCTCATTCCTCGCTGCTACCTTGGCTTCTGCGGTCCCCCAGAATGCTGGTACCACGTGGCCTTCCAATCCCTCTGCTCCAGCTGGTGTCATGGGGCTGTGAGGAGCAGTGAGAGGCTGCCCACGAGTCTGGGACAGCTGCGCGGGCTGCATGTGTGACAGAGTACAGTCTTTGAAGGCAGGTGCACGGGCCTCCAGTGCTTCCTACTACCTGTGGGTCTTTCTGCTAACAATCCACTCAGTCTCCCTGGACTTTGCTTTCCTCATCATCAAAATGGGAGTAATACTGCTCACCGGAGATTAAATGAGATAATGCAGGCCAAGGGGCCCTGGGCACAGAAGGGCACCCCTGAAGGGAAGATACTACTCTTGTTGAGAGTACCTAGGACACAGGGCCTTCACTGCAGGTTCCCAACCCTGGCTGAACTTCAAAGTGCCCTAGGAAGCTTGCAAGATTGTGAGGTGGGGTTGGGGGGTACCCTCATGTGGCTACAGCCACAAAAACTGCCTTTAACCACACATTTCCCCCCTTTACTCCACAAAGCCATGTTCATGGTATTCCTCCCATTGGCTCAAAATCACCACCTCCAGGAGGCCCTCAGCAAGTCTCCCATGCTAACTGGAGTTCCTTCAACACTCAAACTTGACTCAGCATTCATGTGCAATTTGCGCTTGCCACTGTATCAACTGGAAAACATCCTCAAGCTACTTCTCATAGGTGTATTTGCTAACTGTCTGTTTTCTATCCAATGCTGAGCAAATGAGGCCTGGCAGGCCAGCCTGTCTCTTTCATCAGCCACGGCCCCTCAATGGGCCTCCAACCTGCCCCGCTGGATGGGATGACTTCCAGGGTGTCTAACATTTAGTTTTAACTGAATTCTTCCAGGCTGGTGGGGGGCGGGGCAGGGGGAGTTAATTTTCAAATTAAAATGCAGGTAGGGAAGTCAGGTTACCTGGTCCTGGAGTTTCTGGAACATCAGTGGGTGTGGTTCCTCCAGGATCTTCTCATTGAGCCGGGACTGGCCTTCAACATTGACTTGGGACGAGGCCTTGCTGGACAGAAAGGTCGTGTAGATCTCCTTTGCCTTTTCCTGCATCTGAGGGAGACACAGAGTGCCTGTCTGACATCTGCAAGCACAGCCCTTCCCGGCCTGAGCCCAGCAATCCGTTCCAGCCCAGGAGGCGCCGCTGCTACAGGAACCCTGGGGGATCTGGCTGCGGCTCCAGAGCTAAGCCCAATCTGGGGGTGCTCGCGGTCGGCCTAGCCCCTCCCCCTCCCCCTCCCGCTCCATGCATCTGTAGTCCCATCTCCTGTCTCAAAACTGCTGCACCACCCATTCAGACATGATGACAGAAAGAATCCTGGCCCAGAGTGAGTGACATTCAGCAGCATTCATGACCATCCTGTGAATTCTTCAAATTAAGGACTCATGGGAACATTCTTCAGCCATAAAAAGGAGTGAAGGACTGACACTAACTACAGCATGGATGGACCTTAAAAGCATTACGCTCAGTGAAAAAAGCCAGACACGAAAGGCCACATGTTATATATTCTACTGATATGAAATATTCAGAATCAGCAACTCCATAGAGACAGGAAGCTGAGTGGTTGGCTGGGGGAGGGAGATGGACACAGGGAGTAGCGGCTTAATGGGTAAGGAGTTCCTGTTTGGAGTGATGGAGGAGCTCTGGAACTAGACAGTGGTGACAGCTGTTCAATGCTGTGAATGTATTTAACACCACTGAACTGTATGCTTTAAAACGGTTAAACTGGTAAACACAAGAGCTCTAAAAAGTGATAAGTGTGGTAAAATTTATCTTATGTCGATTTTATCATAGTAAAAAAAAATCAAACCGCAAGTTTATACTGTGTAGCACAGGGAACTATATTCAATATCTTATAGTAACTTATGGTGAAAAAGAATTAGAAAATGAATATGTGTATGTTCCTATGTGACTGAAGCATTGTGCTGTGCACCAGAAATTGACACAACATTGTAAACTGACTACATTCAATAAAAATATATTTTAAAAACATCAGGTTAAACCGTGAACACATATCCCAACCAGTCATCAAGTCCCTACTATGCTCCAGATACATGCTAGGTGTTTTACAGCCATGGCCCCACTTTCTTAATCCCCTGGGCGTCCAGCACAGTGCCATCTTCCTGTCAGTGCCATGTCCCTAATGAGGACACGGAGGCCAGGAGAGGTGACGTGGCTTATCCAGGGAGCCCGCAGGGAGACGCAGAACTGTTCAGCTCCAGGGCCTAACGTTTCTGCTCAGCCCCACGCCCGTGAGATGCATCACCCTCCAGGTGGTGCACCCTGTCAGCCTTCTGGGGCAGGGGCTTGTTTTCAGGGAACGACATGAGTATTAGCAAGAGAGAGAGCACTGCCCACCTGCCCTGGGTCCCAGGTGCTGTCGAGTGGGAAGTTATCAGCCCTAAGCAGGCACCCGGGAAGGCTTATCAGCGGGGCTGGGAAAGGTGTGCACACCTGCACTTAGGTTGCACCAAAACCCAACAGGGGCTGGTGCAGGAGTGCTCTCACGGTGAGTGCCTTGTCCTAAAAACAGCAGGCCTCCGTGCCTGGGCTGTGGACAGGAGCCCGTCCTACAGGGCGTCCCCTGCGGGTTCTACTTTCTCTAACTTCCTGTGTTTGCACTTTGCAGGCAGCAAACGTGAGGGCTGTTTCTCTAAACATTAGAGTCTCAGTTTTACCTCACCCTACAGAGGAAGCCGGATAATGAATGCCTCTGAAAAGTAGCCACAGAGCTACGATCTGTGGGAAGAAGAGGGGGGTGCTTCTCGGGGTCGACCTAGAAAACTGCCATTCTCTCCAGAGAGCCCACCACACATGCTGCAGAGCTTGGCTTAGGAAACCCCAGGCTCTGAAAACCTCTGGCCTCATGGAAACCACCAGAAGGCTTCAATACCTGGGGCTTGAGAGGAGGGGAAAAGCAATCCTTCAACTTCTTTCGGTTCCAGGGACCAGTTGACAAAAGACCCCATGAGATGGAGGCCTGACCTTCTCCCATCCCCCAGAAAGAAAGCCTTAGCAAGACGTGCAGAAAGATTGCTCAGGCGGGGGTCTTAAGATAATATGGCTGTTCCAGGGGACAGGCCTGGAGACCAGCATGGAGACCCAGGTAGGGTAGCGCTTTGAGGCTAGAAGAGCCACTCCCTCCACGAAGCCACGAGCCTCCCTCCCACCACCCCCATTCTGTCAGGAAGGAACATCTTTGGAAAACCACTTCCTGTTTCAACGATACTTCATAAAAGTAGAATTTCAGCCAGCCAGACTAGCAAACTCCATGTGGGGCTCTGGAAGCAGAAATCACTTTAGGTCTCCCCCTCTCCTTGAACATTCACACACACACATTTTCCAGATGGATCCAAGTCCTCCTAGGTGGTTGTGAAAAGAAGTAGCTTGAGGCTTAGAGATGGGGGCGGGAAGGGAGACAGGAAGCAGGTTTGGGGAGGGGCACCTGCAGGTGCACAGGTCTCAGGTCTCTCAGCCGTGCCTGCATGTCCCCATCCCCCTCCCCGAGTCTCTGGGAAGAGTGATGGGCCCCCGAGGTGCCCGGACCTGGGCCACCCTCATCTCCAACTCTGAGCGATGGCTTCGTGGGCAGAGCTTATCTGGCTGGGGTAGGAAGCGTGACTGAGAAGGGAAACCCTGAGACTGCCGACCGCAAGCCAGTCACGGGAAGGCCTGATGTCCGTGCAGAGAACACTTAACAAAAAAGAAGAACCGGTCTCTTGAGTTATTTTGGTAAATTTTCCAGAGCTTTGTTAACCCTATTCTAGCTCCCGTCAGGATACAGTGAGAACATTCCCTGCCCCCTCCCCGGGTGCAGCCGCCACATCCTTGACCCTGGGAGAGACCTAGAGGGATGGCCAGCAGCTCTCCTCCCACCCTGACAGCCTCCACCAGAGCAACAGCCCTGCTGTGGACAGCAAATGTTCAGGTACCTGCAGTGTTGGGAGCCATGGGGGCAGGAGGACAACAAGAAACACCTAAAAATGGCAGGAGCTCGGGGCGTCAGGAACCCTGGCGGGAGGGATGAACAGGGTGGCAGGAAGAAGCTGTCAGACCCCCCCCCCCAGGTCCTAGACCCTCCCAACCCTGAGCAGTTATCTCCCTCCCCTACCCCTACCTCTCCCTGGGAGCCTGGGGGTTTCTTCTCTAAAGAAATTGACTCAGAGAATTCGCAGACAGAAGCTCAAAGACGGCAAGGAAGACACCAAACTGAGCATAAGGGTTAAATGAAATTCCACATACAGACCCCCAGCAAATTTCTCCCCACCCAGCTGACTGCAGATATGTTTCGTTTATAAATACATCGGGCTTGTGGCCGCCAGGAAGAGGCTGGAGGGCTCCCGTCTATAGAAAACAAAAGCAGGAAAAATTCCATAGAAAGATTTGAAGATAAAGTTGAAATCTCCAAAAGAAAAAGTAGGAACCAAAAGCCAAAGAGATGAAAAAATAGGAGGGGGGAGAAGAAAGGATAAAATTAAAGGCTCATTCCAGGGTGGTGGGGGACGCACATCACTGGGGAAGAAACCAGAGAAAAAATGGAAGGAAAGAAGTTACTAAAAAATAATGATAATAAAAATAACATAAGAACATTTCCCAAATTTCCAGATTAACAGGCTCCACAAAACGCCCCCCATGATGAATGAACCTCACCCCCTCCAAAGCCTCTGACCACACAGTTTCAGAATATTGGTGATGAAAAGAGGATTCTATGCTCTTCCAGAGAGAAAAAAGGCAAAGAAAACAGAACAAACCCGCTTACATGTAAGATACTGATTCTTAATAAAAATGGAAGCTAATGGGACAATGTCTTCAAAATTCTGAATGAGTTTCAACCTAGAATTCAATCCTATGCTCTGTGAAGTGGGAAAACAGTTGGGGGAAGAAACAACACTTTCACTCAACAAGATGTTTAAAGGTCTACCTGCCAGGCCCCCTTTCTCGAGAAATTATTGCTGGTCGTGTTCCACCAAAATGAGGGAGTGACTCAGGACAGAGGAGGACCTGGTCCTGGAGGCGGGAGAGAGAGTGGCCACTGGTGGCAAAGGAAGACCTGGGGATGCCCTGGTGGGAGCTGTGGTCAGAGGGCCCCAGGAGGACTGTCCCTAGGGCAACTCGGACTGCACAGCTGATCTGAGGTTCCTGCGTAACACTGTAACAAGAAGCATTTTAAAGAGTTACTAGGGAGTATAAAAATAAGAAAAGCAGAGGGAAGGTATAGCTCAAGCCATAGGGCGCATGTGTACCTCCTCAAAAAATAAGCAAATAAATAGACCTAATTACCTATCCCACCCCACCCCACCCCAAAAAAACAACAAAAAATAATAAGAAAAGATGCTCCAAGAAGAAATCTCAGTATCCTCTTTGGCTCAGCAGCAAACAACAAACAATAGTCTTAATTATGAAAACGCAGTAGACAGAGATGCAAGGTAAGTATGACCTCAGTTACTGTACGAGGATGTCAGCAGATGACACCTGAAAGTGATGAGGTGAGCCAGGAAGGGACGGAGGCGCAGGGCAGCGCACCCACAAGCAGCTGAGCTCCCATCCGGTCCCACCTGGACCTGGCCGAGTCCACATCGAAAGGCAAAGATGGGAAAGACAGCCCAAACCAGAGAGAGAATGAAACCTGGAGGGTACTGAGGACTGCCAGGAACCCACCCTTCTTACCCCATCTGGTAATGACATGAATACATTTCAAATAAAGAGCGCTCATCACTTTTGGATCGTTTTTTAAAAAATAAAGAATATGGCATTTCAGCCTTTTAGGAAGACCTTTACTATTACTTTAAATAAGAACATCAAACACTCTAAAATCCAGGATCGAGTTTTAGTGTTAAATTAAATACGATAAAATTAATAAATACCATAGACCACCTCCCCCTCATAACTGTTAACTCCAAAACACTATCAACATGCCTGGTACTGTTATATTTAAATACCAGTGCGAGTTGCTCTCAGAGCTATGATTATTAGAAATCTTCCACCACCCCACCACTCCCCAACCCCCAGCTCTCAGTCTGATTTTTACAAATCTACAGGAGCTGCTGTATCCATCCCAATCCTTGTCACATAGTAAGCAGGCCCAATATGCATGCACTGATGGATGGATGGATGGATGGATGGATGAATGAATGAATGAATGAATTCAGGGGTAGCCAAAGAATGAACACCTTGGAGCTTTTTCTGAGGTTGCTTTGTGTTACAACATAGATGTATCTCATGTGCTAATTCATAGGGAAGAAGCCCTTTAAAAAAATTTTTTAAGCCATAATGAAATTGCAAAGGGAGAGAATTGCTTTGAAAGCAGACTGCTGCATATGAACACCTGGCAGTTACAACCCCAGGAACTCCAAGGAGGGAATGTAGCAGGCATCACCCTCCAAACTCCCTAAAGCTCCAGCACCCCCACCGTGAACACAGAGCGCTGAGACCCTCCCAAACTAAGAGGCTGCCTGCCTGCCTGCCAGGGCTGCAACACAGACCAGGGAGGGCAGTGAAGACACAGCACTGGTCCACTATTTGGAGCTTCTGAGCACATGAGCCCCAACAGAATAGACAGTGTGTTCCTCTCTCAAGTCCACTCCTAAGGCGGCAAACTGCAGCTCAAGATGAGCAGGGAGGCCAGGACCCCGCTGATGGCAGGTTCTTAGGTGTTGGCTGACCTGAACGGACAGCGGGAAGCGCACAGTGAGCCAGGCACGTCATGGGCACGCGGATACGGTGGGGAAGAAGACAGACAGAGACTACAGACCTTAGAGAGCCTGTGTGATAGAGGGAAAAGCAAACAGTACAGAGAGAAAGAAATTATATACGGTACCAGAGAAGTTGGTAAGCACTGTGGAGAGATCTGGCTGGATGGTTATGGTAAGAATGAAACAACAAGCCAGGCTTAGTTCGCTGTAGAGAGAAACCGCCGACAAGCTCCCTGCCGGATCAGAGGTGGTAAGTCCAATTGTGAAATTTAGCTGGGCTGACTTCTCCCTGTCTGTGTCCTCCACTTTTTTAAATTAGTGAAACAGAACTTTCTTCTGGTTTTGCTTCCCCTGCAGTCAGACCCACTAGAGAACACACAGGCCCTGGAGTCGGCGACCTGGGCCTGCACCCCGGCTCTGTCTGCACCAAGCCGGGCGGCCGTGGGCCAGCTGCAGCTTAACCTCTCGGACCACGGCCCCAGCATCTGAAAGGGTAGGAGTTGTCACGAGGCTGAGTGCGATAACCCAGACTGAGGTATGGACACCACAGGCCTCAGAGATGATGCTCCCGCCGTTCCCAGTGCTGTCTGTATCCTCAGGGAGCTGACGGGCGAGGCAGCATTCACTGCACAGCAGCAATGACCAGGCACATCCAGCTTCAAGGAGTCATATGCTGGGTATCGGGGTTGGGGGGGCACAGAGAGGAGCTGTCAGATTCTCGAAGCTCTGGCTGTAGGATGTGGATGGGCCAGTGCAATCCAACACAGGGCCCCCCAGTGTTCCCTGGGCATCCATGTTCTTCAGGTGTGGCCCCACCTCAAACACAGCAGAGCCAGCCTGCCCCTCCACACGACCCTCTGACGGCTCTTCTCTCCAGGCCTTCCTCCCCACGTGCTGGCCCCTCTCCCAGGAACACTCCTCCTACCCCCAAACTCCACTCAGATGTCAGCTTAAGAGTCACTTCCCTCGGGGCCTTCCTGACACCCACTGTCCGTGCTCCCACGGAACCTGCACTTCCCATTTCTGTCCTCACCACACTTGCAAAGGCTTGTCTAACAAGCAGCTGCCCCTCCCCAGGCCTGTCCCCTGAAGAGGCTCGTCTGTCTCGTCCTTGTGTGTCACCCGTGCTTTTCACAAGGCCTGTCCCTGGCAAAGATCTGGCAAACTCAATTGAGTTGGAGGGTGCTCCAGCACCATGTGCAGGGCAAACAGCCAGGCGGCCCAGGGTGCAGGTGCAAGTCCCAGCTCGGCCATGCAGGGACCCGACTCGTTTGCACGGTGCAGGAGTGCGCTGGCTGACCCGTCAGCCCCTCTCACCTCCAACACACAAGCTGAGGCAAAGGAACGGACATCTGTCCTCCTGCTTGGCTCCCAGCCAGGGAATTGGGGTGAGGCCAGGACAAATCCATTGCACAGGCCAGCGTCTATGGACAGTTGTCCCTGGGCCTTGTCTTGGGTGCTGGGGGCAAAGGACAGCAGTGGGCACGCCTACCTGAAGGGGCGCAGCCAGCACCCAGCTTTCCGAAGCCGCGCCTCCCACCTGGGGCTGCTCACCACCCCTCAAGGGGCTCAGGCAAAGTCATCCAGGAAGGAGACGAAGCAGGAAGGAAGCAAATGGCCAAGAGTCATGCCTGGGACAGCTTTCTAGGCTGACCTAGGAAATTCAGCCAAGGGGAGCTTGGAATCCATCCTTGCCCCTGCAGAGGGGAGGGCAGCAGACATGCTGTTGCATCCTGGGGAAGGGTGTCTGAGTCAGAAAATCCTTTGAATAAGCCTGTGAGTCTGCAAACACTGAATGGCTTTGGCCTCATGGATTCCAGCTTGTGGAGCCAGAGGCTCGAAACCTGGCAGCCCACAAGCTGCCTCTGCCCATGGATATGTTTTGTTTGGCAGGCAAGGTTTTGCATTTTTAAAAAATTAGTTCCATCACTTGTAATATCAGATCGGTTCATATAAGAATTCAAATGTCCAGCTTCTCTGGATAAACCAGCAGCACTGGGCTGAAGACAGGAGAAGATGCCTTAGGAAGAAACCTCCCTTAGAGCTCCAGGGTGAGGGTGGGCAAGCCAAGACCTAGGTGGACAGAGCTCAAAGCAGGGAAAGCTCAGACAGCCTAGACCCTAAAGCATTCACTGCCAAAGTCAACAACCAGCTACAGCCTCTGGAGGCAGGGCTGGCTACCCCCAAATGGCCCTAGTCCCCACCACTCCCTACAGCCTCACACCAAAAACCTCACTCATGCACAATACTTCCCAGCCATTGTAGACATTTAGCCACTAGCCTCTTAGAAATACACAGGCAGGGGCCTCGTAGACACACCCAGTTCACAGGCCTCCTTCCCCATAACCTCCTCCACCTCCCCTGACACTCAGCCTTCAACGGCAGAAAATCCAGCTGCCACTGGAATTAAAGGCTACCTCCTGCGAAGAGCACACATCCACCCAGAGAACGGACAGAAACCCTCTCTGTGGGATGCCTGCCAACTACGAGCTGTTTTGCAAAGATAGACTGAGTAACTGACAATGCATCTGATGCACGTTGTGCTGTTATCAACACACATCTGCTTTACTACGTCCGCACAAAATGCCAACATGTCAAACTCTGCGGGAAGCGTTCACATAACTTATTCATGAAACAAAATCATACTCAGTGACGAACTCTAAATGACTTAAATGGTTATTTTTGCTTCAAATATTTGTCCATCTAAACATCTCCATTTAAAAATGGATAACATGCTCTTTTTAAAATTGTTAATATTCGATCAACACTAGATGCCTTATCTGAAGCTTAAATCTTTCCCCAAATCCAACGGGAATCAGATTTCTCCAGGCAATTTCAAAACATATTGGAAAAGCAGCTGAAACTTTATAAAGAGAGAAAAAAATTATCAAGAACGTGATTATGGATTGGAAAAAGTACCTGCTTTTTATCTTGCGTTTTCTTAAAATCTTCGCATGCTAGCCAAAATAAAACATTTTCTTCACTGAATTCTTTTTTTAAAAATTCCTGTGGATGAAAAGAAGAAAAATATCAAGCAGTAGTGTACTTAGAAAACAAATAATGCTTGCCCTTCAAGAACTGATAAGTCCAAATTCAACAAATGAGCATATTCAATCACCCTGTGAAAGCTCCCCCAGAAACACAAAGTATTAAAGCTAGAATTTCATATGTGTTTGAACTTGATGGCTTTGACGTTGTGAAGAAGAGTGAAAATGAAGCCGGAATCTACTCCCAGTCCTCAACTGACAATAAATTACTAAAAAGTAAATTAAAGTGGTAGATATATTAGTTCCTTCCAGACAGTGTTTAAACAAAGTACATTCCTCAAAAATCAGGCTCATCTTTTTTTTTAAACAAAAGAGAAGAAGACATATTGAGCATGCCTTACAAACATCGCAATGAGAACTCTTTTTTAAGTTGGAGGTGTGTTCTTTTGGCAGATGTTGAGGGGTCAGTGGCACAGCCAGCTCTCCTGCTGTGCATGGAAGTTTCCTCTCTGGAATCTAGACGGTGCTCACAGTGCCCTTGTGTCCAGGAATGTTAGCAGCCCTGTCTGGTACCCCACCTCCTCAAGGTCTGCAACAAGGACCAACAGCTTGAGGGCTTATCCTGGCCTGACCCAAGACTGAAAGCCAGAAGTCAGTGGGACTCGGGCAGATATGAAGCATTCTTCAAATTCACAGATGTTTTTTCTGACACCTGGGGTTTCTGCGTGCCATTTCTAGGCAACACCAACATCTCCCCATCCACCTGTCCTTCTCTTTGAGTTCAACTTCACTCTGCCAGCTGTTGTTCAGCTGCTTTCACTCTGTTAATAATGTGTCCTGAAAATCCCTAACACACAAGAGAACAAACCTTTACATCAAAGAGACCCAGACACCCCCTCCCAGGGCTCACAGAGCTGGAAATTCTTTGTAGACTCTGCCAATGAGCACAGTACTGATCCCCCATTACCCTCATGCCCTCCCATCCAACTCTATAAAAACCAGAGACAGTCTGTGCCTGTCCTTCAGTGCTGGTCCACAGCTAGTAGGAAAGCGTTTCCATCTTAGTCATGAGTAGGGAGAAGTTCTTATTCTCAAGTTGGGACAGACAGTGTTTAAAAAAAAAACCTGTGTTTCCCTCACATACATCTCAACTTCTTTGTGTAATGCATCAACCCTGGTCAACAACAAAAAAATGCAAACCCTAAATCTTTTCACGCCTTCTGGGTCTTCAAGCAGATTCTCCAGAGAAGCCGCCCATTTGGCTGTGCTCTTGGGGTTCTGGTGGCTGCTGCTGGAACTCCCATCACTCTCATGGATGTCTGCAAAGCAAAGTTCAGACTGTGTATGTGGCCCAAGGATACTGTCATTTTATAACAGTCATTTTGGTCATCATCATCACCAATATGGCTAACATACAGTATTAAGTTACATGCCAGAATCTACTCTAGGTGTTTAACACGCTGAATTCATTCTAGTCCTGACAACAACCTTAGGCAGTAGGTGCTACCATTTCCTTCATTTTACAGATGCAGAAAACTGAGGCTCAGAGCTAAGAAGGGACTTGTCATTTCCCAACAACCCCATACATTCTTCCCCTACCCATGTGTTCACTGGCTGACCCCCAGGCAGCCCTCACGTCTCACGCAAGCCCTCCTCCCTGGGACCTTGACTCAACAGCGACTCTTTCCCATCACATTCTGTGCACGGTCTTATAATTATCTTGCTGTGTTATGACTATGTCTCACTTGACTGGCTCTCACTTGTCTGAAAGCTCCTGTGTATCTTGATCTTGTATCTCCTGCCAGTAGCTCATTGCCTGGCACACAAATAAAAGTATGTACCAGGGCTGGGACTAGGGTGGGGGAAAGGAGGCACTGGCTGCAAAGCACAAAATTTAAGGAGGGTTATCAGATAAATAAGATTTTCATGCAATATTCTGAAACATCAAAAGTAATGCAAAAAAAAAGTTCCATAATGAGCAAAATACCAAAAATTTAAATAAAGGCAGGATGGTTAAACTGATTTTTTTTCCTTGTGCCTCTCAGGCTCCAATAGGTCTCAGCATCACGCTGTTACTGTGTGTGTAGACGGAATGAATCAGTGACTTCGCACCTGCACATCTGCTGCACTCTTACTCTTAAAAAGAGCCTGGGTGGGGGGGTGGCATTGCTCAGTGGTACAGCACGTGCTTAGCATGCATGAGGTCCTGGGTTCAATTTCCAGTATCTCCAATTAATTAATTAATTAAACGAGCCTCTTAACTAAAGGAAAAGGGATAAGGACTTCCCACTAACACACTCTGGCTACTTGCCTAAAGAAGGAAGTAACAACATGAAGACGCGTCATCTACAGAATTTGGCCCCTTTCTGGAGTGAAGGGGAAAACCACGGAATGCCACTTCCATGGGCCCAGGTTCCAAAACCAGTTTGGCCAATTGGAACTGTGTGACCACAGGCAAAATTCTGTGTACAAGGGAGATCACCCCTGATCTCTCAGGTTATCGGAAGAATCAGAGGAGGAAGCTCACCAGGCACCCAGACAGTGGACCCTCAAGAAATAGAAGTTCTCCTCTCTTAAAACCATGATCTATCAAGGGAACTATTTTTACAGCTAATACTTTTTTTCTCCATTGCTTTTTCTCCCCCCAAAGTAGAGAGACATATTTCTCTAAAGAAAAGATTAAATCTAGGAGAAAAACAAGCTTTCAATTAAACAGGAAAGCAAATCATCTTAAAAGGATAAATTTTTAAAGTCTTATAAATATTAATTGCTGCAAGTAGCTAAGGGGCCATATGACTTAAAATTTTTGGAGGAAAGTTGTAGCAGAATATATTGGACTTAGTAGTAAGTCCGCTTCCGTGATCGCAACTGTTCTGTTGGGTGTCAACACACAGGTTAATTTCTCAAGCAGCTGAGACTCATCTCTCAGCATCTGGGAAAACTATCTAGATTTTAGACACTGATTGGCTAACTTGGGCTAAATAAAGCAGAAGCCAGAAGCCCACAGGGTCTGTGTTTCACACGCATTGGCGATAGAGCAAGTAAGAGAATGAATTGTTGGGGACAAATCCATTCCTTTAATTGAGAGGCAAACTCATTCAAACATATCACAAAGGTACCTGATGCTTCTCTAAAGTGAATCTTCAGTTCGTGGATATTAAGTTAGTTCCCCACTCTCTTTGCAAATGCTAAAACCGGCAAGCTTCTGAACACTGCGTTTCATCCCAACAAAGTATGAATCAAATTAGAAGATCATTATTACAAGAAATTTCTGCAACAGGGTTCATTCTGCCAAGCATTTCACAGATTTACTCTCTGTTCTTTACCCAAAGCATACAGCTGGACGGTTCACTCCACTACCCTAGCAGATCTTCTCTTAAATAAATAAATGTAGAGACACAAGTTTGCTGTTCCAGGAATAAGCTTAGGCAGTCCGAAATTTCTCTCGCCATTGCAGGACAACTACTTTGGCTATAAGTTTTCACCCCTGGCCTGAAATTACTCCAAAACCGTTGACAATTCTTTTCAATAATAAACCAAACACATTTGGGTTTTCACAGCCTCACTCGGTGGATTCCCATTTAGCCAATAGAGTGCTCTGGTTAACCAGGTCTTCTGGTTGGTTAACTGAGAGATAAGATAGCTGTCCTCATCACCAGATAATTCTTCCCTCCCTCCTTCCTTTTATTTCATACTCTAATCATTTTGCATATTAGGTTTCTGTGCCAGCTTTCATTTGAACAAAAGGTTTTACAATGCAAAACCCACTCACCTGATCTATTCCCCTAATTTTTTGTTTGTTTTGTTTTGAGGGGAGGTAATTAGGTTTACTTATTTATTTATTTTTAGAGGAGGTACTGGGGATTGAACCCAGGACCTCGTGAATGCTAAGCATGCACTCTACCACTGAGCTATACCTCCCCCTATTCCTTTAATTTTATAGACTGAGAAATCAAGGTCCAGATGGTAAGGTGACTCAGCTAAGGAACTGCTGGATGGAACCAGTACTGGGATTTACAAATAAGGGCAACTGTCCCTACACCCCCATCCCCCGAGGTCCACCTCCATAGAACCCCAGGGTTCCTTGGAACACCAGAGTTTGCACATGGTTGGCCCTTCCTTTCCGTTCTCTCCTAGGCTACCATCTCCCTTCCAATGATGTCGTGAAACACATCTATAGCTGACACTGTTACAGAAGGTACAGAATTTTCAGGGCTGGCTCAGAAATTATACCAAGACACAGCTACTCTCCACAGCCGTGGTCACTGGTTTCTGGCTTTGGTGCCCTGGATAAAGTGAAACTCCTCTGTGTCTTTCTGCCCACCTTCCGCCCACATTCCGCCCCAGCAGTCCTTACCAGAGGAACCCTCTGCTCACAACTCTGTCATGTGTTTTCACTTTCCCCAGAAATACTAGTTTGAATTTTGCTAAGACTTCCTGATTGTCTTTCAATTTTGATTAAGACCTTTGGCTGTGCCTTATTTTAAAAGCCTTTTTAAAAAATTAAAAAATTTTTAAAATAAAATAAAAAGTCCTTCTTGATCAGTATCAATATAGATAGCTCTGGATAGAGCAGTGTTTGCCAGTTCCATTCATTAAATGATGTCTCTCTTCTCTACATCATTTTCCCCAACCACCAGTGAGCCTGGCTGAGGTCTACCCCATTTGGCACTGCCCCAGAGACTGCCCCTTAAGTCAGGGCATTTCCGTTCCTCAGGATCCTCTGCGCAAGGAGATGTCCACTGTTTTCCGATGCATGTACGTAAGGGCTTCCTAAGCCATCTCGGCTCACTTTAAATGTTATAATCAGCCCAGTGATGTACAGGAGAAAGAAATAATCTTTCTTCATAGCAAGCAGGCTTACTTCTGAGTTTAAGAATAGCGCAAAGCCAAGAGCTCCCAGTTTCCCAACTCCTTCTCAATTCCTGGCACTTGAAAACACAAAGATCCAATACTCTTCTTTCCTTTTTCATTGATAAAAGTTTCCATTTTAAACTTTCATCTTTTTTTTTTAATGGAGGTACTGGGGCTTGAACCCAGGACCTCATGAATGCTAAGCATGCACTCTATCATTGACAAGGTTTCTGCTCACTCACAAAGTTTCCGTCTTAGATGAATTACACAAGAAGGTAGGTTTTGAAAGCACCGGTGGGAAAGGAGTCAAACCTATCTTTCTAGCAGCTTGAAGATCAGCTCAGGCTAGTAAGGAGCTGTTGGTGACAACATTGGTTTGTTTCAATTTTGTCTAGCGCTGTTTATTTGTTGTTGCCCTTGAGATCAACTGTGAAACATTTTTGCAATGAAAAAAATAATTTGTTGCCTCCATGGTTCTTCAAAGCATTTTAGATCTTCAGATTTTTGAAGGCCCAGTGCTTGCTTTTCAATAAATTTACCTTCAGAAGAATCTGTCATTGGCTAATAATAACAGTTAACACTTACAAATTACTCACAATGTGCTGGGTACCATTCCGAGCTTTTTCCATGGGTTAAATCATTCCATTCTCACAATGACCCTCTGATGTGGTTAATATTATCCCCACTTCACAGATGAGGAAACTGAGGCACAGTAACTTGCAAGAGTCACCTAGCTTAGGAAATGGGGAGTCACGGTCCAAGCCCAGATAACCTTGCTCCAGAGCACATGCCATTTACCACAAGGCTCTAGCACCATTTTTATTTTTGATATCTGCTGATCACACTCACAGGGGCCAGAACACAACAGCCTTGAAGAGAGTGATAACAATTATGCTCTGGGTGGAGACTGCAGAAAACTAAAAGTCCATTCCCCGCAGACAAAAACCCATGTGAGACTGAGCCAGAATCATCCGGCAAGCAAACACAATCTACACACACTCTTCATTCATGTTTAGGCTGTTCTGCGTGGTCTCTGACTTCAGCAAAGGCCATTATTTCAAAGCCGGCGCAGCATCAAGGTGCAGAGGGCTGAGGCTGGCTGCTTGCAGCATATTGTGCGATGCATTATTTATAGATGCTATGATGTCATATCTATCAGAGACCTTCTCCAGACCTAATTCCTTGAAAATCCATGTTCAAAAGGCATCTCTAACCCTGATCAGAACTGAATGCTTACGGCATGGATTCCTAATGTTAATCTGCAGGAAGGTCCAGGTCACGATCCTGCCTGGACAATTTCCCCACGTCAAAGAGGATCTTAGTAAAATCTCAGTGTTGAGCTTCCTCAACAGCAGGGTCAACTTACATTCGCAAAGGGTTTTCCCAAAGTACCCCCCAAACACACGGCATATTAAAGAAAAAAACGAGGAACACTCAAACTCAGGAAAAGGCAAAAATGTTGACCGTAGATTCTATAATGGTACCTGCCCCCAACACATACACACACACTCTCCTTTAAAATACTCAGGGAAAGTACACACCCCACAAAACTTATTTAAAATCTCTTATCATCTAAACCACATCAAACATTACATTAAAAAAAAAGTTATCCCAACTTAGAAGCAGAGAATCAGTTGGTTACAACTGGTGATCTATGTATGGCTCCGGAGAAACTGGGTCATGGAAACACTCTATCTAAATATTACTTGAGTGTTTATCAGCTCCAGTATCAAGTTTCTGAGAATAACTACCCTTCAGGCATGCAATTCCCTTCGTGGGGAGGTTTGCATGAACAGCCATTAGCAGAAAATAATAATAAAAATAAAAACGATTTGAAATAACCACACTAATTGCAAGCATCAAAGACCAGAGCAGGCCAACAGGCTGGAGAGGTTGGCTCAGCTCAGAAACGGCCTCATGGCAGTTTTCACAGGAGGTCTGAGGCCCCCTGTGCACCTGTGTCTGCACCCACTCCCCCCACCCCTACTCCGCCTGCCAGCACCCAGCGATGGGTGAGCTGAGGGCAGCTGTCAAAGCGGCAGGGGCCACTCCTTACATGCCATGCTCTGGGGTCTGCCCGGGGTGGGGTGGTCCACGCAGCCCGAAAATCCGCTGTCTTCTCAGAGACGCTTTGTGCGAGACAGGCGGGGGCTGCGGGGCTCCTGAGCACCCTTGGGTCCGGAGAAAAAACAAGCCTCAACATCCTCTTTTGAGTGGACTAGACAACAGATGGCCACTGGTTTCCAGTTTCTACCAGAGGGAACTAAGAACGCCGGACTGTTATTTGTAGCCTCCCTAGAATCTTCACTTTCTAGGCAAAGGCCCAGAAAAAAATTCCAAAAATAAAAACTGCCCAGGAGCCCAATTCTGGAGGTGAAGGTGAAGACCCTGTCATTTTTTCTCACTTTCCAAAAAGCCCTCGTGCTTCCTCTGGGACCTGACACTGATGCAGAAATGAGCCTTCACTCTCCCCTGGCCCCTACCTCGGGGAAAGTAAGTTCTTTTTCCCTCCAGTGTCAGTAGGGTAGCCTGTGTATTTCTTGAGAGGGAGGCTGTGTCTTCCTCATGGCCAGCAGTGTCTGCCACTCACGTATGGATTTTCAGTGATGGCTGTTTTCTGATAGATGGTCAGCGGTGGAGGAGCAAGACACAGAGAGGAGGATGGCTGTAAAAACAGCTGGCATTTACTGAACACTTGCTATGCCCCATCTCAACCTCACAGCCACCCTTGGTGGGGGGGGGGTCAGGCCCATTACTGGCCCATTTTACATGTGAGGAAATTGAGGCACAGCAAGGTTAAAATCATTTGCTCCAAAGGAGCAAATCAGGAAGTAGAAGTGCTGGGACTCAACCCTAGGTTGTCTGGCTGCAGAGCCTAGAAAGGGGAAGGCAGTGAAAGATGCAAGAAATGAAAGGCGGCCCTTTTCTCACAGAACTTAAAATTAATTGAGAAGATGAGGCCAGCCTTTCCCAGATGGCCGTCTGCCCTCAATGCCACCCACTGGCATGAAGTTTTCTTCAGAGGTCCCTAAAGGAATGAGAATAAGGAGAAGGAAATATTTACCAAGTGAGCTGTGCTGATCAAGTAAGGACAGTCTTGGGTTGTCTTTTTTAAGCGGATAATTACATTATTTACATGGTGCAAAAGTTAAGAGCTACACAGGGGAGCACAGTGGAACGGGTCTTCAGTGACCCAGAGCCTCTCCCTGAAAGCAATAGAAATGGCCTCTACAAGATTCTTGTGTATCAGGACAGTTCTCTACATGAGATGCTCTCTTTCCTGCTATTTGGGGTGTTGGAACAGCCTTCGACTGTGGGATGCTAAAGATGGCTGATGATGGTGTTGTCTGTTTTTAATGTCCTGACTGGAGACAGAAAGAAAGAAAGAAAGGAGGAAGTGAAGCAGGGAGGCAGGGAGGCAGGGAAGGAAAGAGAAAAGCCACGCACTCCATACTCAGAGATTTGAGTTCTCAGGTCTCTCCCTTCTGAAATGGGTGTCTCTGGACAAGTCCCGCCCTTTGGTGGCCTCTGCAGCTGTCTGGGGAGATGGATAGACTGCATTTCAGGTGCAGAGAGGGAGGGAGCCAGGAGGCAGGAGCCCGAGAAGAGCGTGCCCCCTGGAGCAGGGAGACCTAGCTTTGGGAGAGGACAAGGGACAGAGGTGGGAATGTCCAGCCACCCACAGGCAGAGCGGGGGAAGGGGAGTGGGAATGGGAGAGAAGGCAGGCCAGATTCCAGGTCCCAGAGCACTCCACAGGGAGGGAGGCAGCAAAGCTGATCCACAGGCACTCAGCAGGGCCGAGAGATGAGAGCTTGTTTAGAAGGGACATTTGTCCCCGGAAGTCTGCAAGGGACTGTTTTGCTCGAGTGGACACCTCCTGACAGCTCTTATCAAGGAGGGGATGCTGCTGTCTGCTTGGGCCCCTCTGCCACCCCCAGGGTTGCTGTTTTGGAAAGATATCAGGGGGAAGCAGAAGAAACTGGTGAGAGTAAATTTAGTACAACTTAAACAGCAAGTTCCCAGAGCCCAGCGGAAGGGGCCAAGTGGATTACTCAACCCCCGGGAGGGAAGTGACTCAGTTCACCCAGGAAGCTCTAGGAAATGGCCCAGCCAGGCACCTGCCTAGGTTTGCAAACTTTCTAATAGTGAGGAAAGGAGACATCAGTTCAAATATAAGGTCTGTGAAGGCAGGTAAAGTACCATTAGCACCCGTCCACAGGCTGCCTTTGGTGGTGTGCAGAGTTGGCACCTTGGACTCAGCTGGCTTGTGGGCTGACCACACCTGTATAAACCATGCCCCTGGCCCAGCCTAGCCTCTCTGTTCTGGATTTGCTCTCCCAGATCTCACTGGCCCGCGCCAGTGATGTTCTGCAGAAAGTTTCCCCAGCAGCCAAGCCTGCCCCGCCACTGGGTTGTTATAACAAAGACATTAAATTGTTTTGTCAACTGTCATCTTTAAATAAAAACTTAAGCCCAGTAATAAATTTGAAACTGGTCCCAGAGGTTTAATGGGACCAGTTAAAAGTCTAACAGCCTGGCAGGGGAGGGGATCCCCCTGGCGGGTCAGCCCTCGGTCTGGTCGCAGCTGTGGCTTTGGCTTTGCTTTTCAAGTGAACAGCATCCCGGTTACCATCACAGTGCCAGTTGTGGTGGGGGCAGGGTGGGTGCACAGAACCCTTCAAGGGGTCCTCACACTTCAGGGGCATAAGAATCAACTGAGTGCTTGTTGAAAACACAGCCAACTCTTTCTCACCTCGGGCTCCCAAGACTGAATCGGGGGTTCTGGGGCATGATCCAGAAAGCTGCGTTTTATCAAGCCCACCCCCACCCCAACCCTTATGTGATTTATGAACGCATTGAGAAACCGCAGAAAGGAGAATAATCACACTTTGAATCATATTTCGAAACTTGGAATTAGGGGTTGGGAGCACCAGAGTTCAGCTTAAAGACATCGTCTCCAATAAGATTTTGCAGAAATGCAGGAAAGGTCTAGAGTAAAGGAAGCCAAGAGGCAGGACTGCGACAAGGTCCAAATCAGAGTCCTGTAGGCACTGATCCAGCTTTTGTGGGGTCAGAAGCTTATATAATTTGGAGAACCACTTAAAAAACAATTACAAAGTTACAAAAAAAAAATACAAGTACCAGGGTACCTGCAGATTAATTCGGCTGGCTTTCCAGTGCCTTGCCTCGGGGCCCACATTCCTCCT